ATGTATTACATATTTTCTAATGATTAATGCAATCCTTTTTTATATATATAAAATATTTTACTTTTTTACTTTGAAATACTTAAATTTTCTTAAAAAGATTTGGGGCCTCACGAGAGTTGTGGTGGGATGGATAGCATATCTCCTTCTTTAATCGGAAGTATTCGGTTTCAGTAGTTATAATGAAAAAAAATCCCTTCTAAAGAATAGTTCCGACTTTAATGAACTTTACATGGTACAAATTTGAATTCATCAATGACCCAAATTAAATACCGGACATCAAATAAAAATTAAAAAATAAAAATTAGGACCCCAAAATTCTGGGGCCTAAAGCCACCGCTTGAGTTGCTATACCCTCTGACCGCCCGTGTCTAAGACTTGTCTTCCGTAGTTGAGCAGGGAACTCTGCTTTTTATATTGTAGTGAGACATCCTTATTAATTAGGAGTAACTTTTATGTAATTGGTTATTGGTTAGCCACAAAGATAATATAGCAATGTCCAAATAAATAAGGGCTTTTTTACTTTTAGCCCGCGTCAGAAATTATTTATATTCAGTAGTCGAAAAAGTTATAAAATTTATGTAATCTTTTTGTCACACCTCCTTTTTACGCGCCTACCCCGAAAGATAAATGCGTGAGGGAGTTTTTCCAATTTAAGTGACAATATTCGAAATGGGGTTATTTATTTAATTCAGAGTCGCCACTTGGGAAAGGTTTGGCTTTTGGTGTCCCAAGTCACCGGTTTATCTTGAATCCCAATTCGAGGAAATTATTCGACTTTCCAAATGAAGTCTGCGAACCAGAAATTCTAAGTAAGGAATTCTGTTGACCCGAGGGAAGGTGTTAGGCACCCCCGAATCTCGTGGTTCTAGCACGGTCGCTTAAATTGTTATAATGGCTAAATATCTGATTTTAATACATGTTATAACTTGTGTGCTTTTATTAGGTTTAAACCGCTTTTATTATTATTTATTTTTTATGGAATTGCAACGCCGTGAAAATGCATTTCAAACCACGTCACAATCAATGCGCTCGTGGTTGTTAATACATTCCGACTCCGTTGAGATTTGGATTTGGGTCACATAAATGTGCACCCGAATTGAAGAATGCAATTTAATTAAAAATCGCGCCTAAAAAGTCTAACGCGTTATTATCTTTGAGGAAGGCCGTAAAAGTTCGCTAAACGGTCCATCCCAAATTCTAAGTATTTTATTATGACCAATTATTGAGGGCCCCGATATTTGCATTTTTGTTTGGCAAGGCATGCCTCATTTTTGTTTTAAAAGGATCGACCTATAGTGACTATGTTTTCTATTTCGTTTGTCTCTATAATGAAAGAAAAAGAATTCTAACTTATTTATATGCTCATGAGTTATTATAGTTGAGTTTTCGAAAGTGAGTCGTTTAAAGAGTTTACATGGGCAGCGCATAGAATGTTCTAAATACAGACAGTAAAAGAAAGAAAAAACTACATTAAACTACAGTTTCAAATCTTTCCCATTTTTACATTCATGCTTCGAGTAGCTTACAAGATGAACCAATGTATCAGTTTGTGTACCTGGTATTTGCAAAGCAAGGAAAGAAGATGAAGATCAGTAGAAACAGCAGTAGTGTAAATACACAGCAACAACAGGTTCAGCAACACATCAAAACCAGTAACGACCAGTAGAATAACCCAGTAACAGATTGAAAAACCAGCAGTACCAGAATGCAATCGCAGTCAAATCAAAAGAGAGACGGATACAAGATGCAGTAGTTTACTAATTTTGAATAACACTCAAGGAAAGGCAAACGGAAATTATTCAAGTAAAAGTTCAACTTGTTTTTCTCTTTTGCTCTCAAATTCTGATTTCTCAAAATTCAGTCAACTCTCTCAACTTTTTTTTCTATCTTCTTCAAAGTCTCCCTTTCTATTCTCCAAGTCTCCCACAATGTGTAAAAATGACTCTATTTATAACCAAGACTCTTGTCTTGAACCACTAACCCGAAATATTCCCATGATTGCATACTTTGTTTCCCACTACCTTAAACAAATGAATTATTCTCCACTATTTTGTGTCTTGTCCCCCACTATATTAAACTAAAGAGTTATTCCCCACTATCTTGTGTCTTGTCCCCCATTATATTAAACAAATGCATTATTCCCACTCCATTATGTCTTGTCCCTCACTATATTAAACTAAAGAATTATTCCCCACTATCTTGTGTCTTGTCCCCCACCATGTACTATTTTAATATTGTTAATACCTAGTGGACAGAGCACTCAAAATTAAGACTTGTTTCCCATATTTCCCCTGACACTACTGAAATTACCGTTCTACCCCCATCAGCTATAACCAATTTTGAATGAGAAATCCTAACAATTGACTAATCAAATCAGTCAAATTCATATCAACATTCAAGATCAGATTCACATCAGAACAACATTAAGATTCATCAAACTCAAATCACCATTTAAGCTTAAAACTCGATTCGGACCAAATAACATCAAAAAAAAAATTCAGTAATTAAACTAAACACATTTCTAGATTAAACCTAAACAAGAACAAATGAATAAAAGCAAACTGAGGAAATAATCAAGACATGATAAACAACGAACAAGAAAAGAATCAAACATATACTGATTTCAGACCCGAGAATATCAAACAAAATACGGACAGAAATGAAACTTAAACCAACTAACCGAATTGGAACAACGACGAACTCGAACGGAAACAAATCTGCCCGGAAACTTTGAAACCCAAATAACTCGAATCTGCCCGGAAATTTTTGTATGTTTTCCAGTTAATTTCAGGCGATGAAGCTGGACGACGAAGACGACCACGAACACCACTGAAAATGACCGAACGGTCAGTGGTTTCCGGTATGGTTGGGCGACGGACGAGTGAGCTAGGTTGCTTGACGAGCAGGAACGCATCAGTGACGGCGCTGGGGATGGAGCGACGATGAGCTGTGGTCGTTCATGGCTGGTTTGACAGTGGGGAAGGCAGCAGAAGNAAGATTAAATTATAAAACCCAAAATTATCTCAAAATACTAATTAACTCCTAATAACAATTAACATATAATTAAATAGCAATTAAGGATAAAATTACACAATTTGGACGTTAAATGCTAAAAATGCAAAATACATATTTTTATGATTTTTCATTTTGTAAAACAAACTTAATTACTCATAACTGTAGAATTAAATATTAAATGCAAATGCGACATATTTTTATATTTTTTTATTAATATAACAAATAAACATGCACAAAAAAAAATACAAATAATTATCCAAAAATGCCACGAAAATTCAAAAATTGCACACAAAGGAAAATTGTTTTATTTTGAATTTTTTGGGAGTAATTCTCATATAGGGCAAAAATCACGTGCTTACACTTTTTATATAACATATATATATTTTCGGCTATTATTTTGAGAGCAGCTATACAATGTCATATTTCCAATAAATAGTAGGCCAGTACTTAGTGGTTAGTTTTTTTTTTTTTTTGGTGACTGAAAAAATAATTTAGAGATAAATATTAAAAATGGAGAAAACAATAAGGTTACCACGGCTTGCATCCCATTAGCGCATAATTAAGTTGACTTGTACATATAATTACGGTATATTGAATATGAAGTTTAAAAACAATTAGGGAAAACCAGCGAATACACACAACAGATTATACCTTAAGCAGGAGCGTACGTAAGAATTTTTATAAGTGGTGTCGAAATTTACAGAAGAACGAAAATAAATAATTTTAATTATCATACTTCTAGAGCAAAAATAGGCGTATAACCAACATGCTAAGAGACAATTTGTGTTGAATTGTGACATTTTTTCCTACTTATTCGTTTTCACACAGTATTAATACATATATTTATTAAAAGAATTCGACAAAGCAGTGTCGCGTGACACCGCTTTATCGAACGTGCATCCACCCCTAACCTTAAGGGGTCGTTTGGTTCAATTATGAAATAACCCATGGTATTATAATTATGAGATATTCCATGGATTATCTATCCATGGAATATAGGGTTTTATCTTTATCCTGATAACCAAATCCTAAACACTTACTAAGCTAGACCTTACCTTATAAGAGATAGCTAATTTCACTATTTTGGTATTAACTCTATATCGGTATTAGTTTATGTCCGCAATCAAATATGAGATAATTCTAATCTCAAATTTCATACGAGGATTAATATTTTTATTCTGATAACCAAACAACCCCTATATGTATCGGTATGAGAATCACGTACAACCTGGAATTGGACTAGGCGCTCGTGAAACGGTTTGAGCCAGATGTGGGAGAGTCTTGTCTCGTAAAATTTGCACTTCAGGCGCCCAATTGTACCCTATGCATCCAATGCGCAACGCATGAGGCTCGTCCAATTGATTTTGTGCAATCGAGTATAATTAGTTGTGTAAATCCAGAAATTCCATAACTAAGCTGTCTATATTGACCATAAATCAGAAGTGAGAACATTGCAAACATCAGATGATCTATCCTTTTCTATTAATTAAATAAAGTCATTTTATTTTCCATGGTTATGCTAGAGTTTCGATAGTTAAGCTAATTTTTTGACAATTATATTAATTTAATTAGAGTTTTATAAGCTTAACGTATTTTAGCAATTTTTTAATTTTTCTACTATTTGTAGAATTATAAATTAATAAAATTTAAAACTTATGGGGCTTACACACCATGTCTGAGCTTACACTTCGTCTTTTGCCCCTGTCCTTCAATACACTACGTCAGACCTTAAAACTTGAACTTTTGCCATTTTTGTGCTTTTCAATTTTTATTTAAATCTTTTGGAAACTGTGAAAAGAGAGTTTTAGAATAGATCGGTTATAAACCATTCTCGGGAAATTTCTCAAGAGACAATCTGCTTCTTTTCATCTTAGTTTGAATAGATGTTCAGGAGGTACGTAGTTTTAGACAAAGAAGACGACACAATTAAGAAAAGTAGAATGCAAAAAATCTCGATATAATGAGCAGAATTGATCGATATCTCAAGGATCTTACTTAAATCAAACAATAAATAATACAAATTATTAAAACAAAAGAACATTGAACACATAATAAGCAAACCCGATCATTTCGGGAAGCATACATCAAATTTTGGCTGCGGAAATGGGGTTGCTAAAAAAAGAGGACAAAAAGGAATAAAAAGCCATGGAAATGGCGAAAATGACTGAATAGTTAAAATTAGTAGTAGGTCGGCGGAGGAGATGCTGGCGGGGTTGGAGGTGAAGCATAGTTGGCGGATTTCTCGTACTTCTCAGGCGGTGGAGGTGACGCATAGGTAGGAGTTTGCTTGTAATAGTTTGTTGGTGGTGGAGGTGAGTAATAAGATGGTGATTTTTCATAGGTCTTTGGTAGAGATGGCAAGTTGTAAGTTATAGGCGATTGCTCGTAGTATTTTGGTGGAGGTGGAGGAGATTTATAGGAAGGTATAGATTCTTTATAGTATGGTGGAGGTGGAGACTTGTAAGAAGATGGTGACTGCTCATAGTATGTTGGAGGAGGTGGGGATGACTTGTAATATGAAGGTGATTTCTCATAATAAATTGGTGGTGGTGGAGATTTATAGTAAACTGGGGACTTGTAATATTTTAGTGGGGCCGGTGACTTATAATATTTAGAAGGAGCAGGCGATTTGTAGTATTTTGCTGGGGATGGTGACTTGTAGTACTTTGCTGGTGATGACGCTATGTAGTACTTTGCAGGTGATGGTGACTTGTAGTTGTTCATTGAAGGAGCTGGTGACTTGTAGTATTTTGCAGGAGCTGGGGATTTGTAGTATTTTGCGGGAACTGGCGATTTATAGTATTTTGCGGGAGCTGGCGCCTTGTAATATTTTGCAGGAGCTGGCGACTTGTAGTATTTTGCAGGAGCTGGAGATTTATAGTATTTTGCAGGAACTAGTGACTTGTAATAATACTTTGCAGGTGCAGGTGACTTATAGTAAGGAGTTGGTACATGATACTTGGGTACGGGAGATGGTGATTTGTAATACTTCTTAGAGTTGTAAGAATGTGAAGGAGAAGCATACCCATAAGAGTAATCAGCAACAACAGTGCTAGCTATAAAGCAAATTGCCAAAGCAGTTACAAGTAAAGGCCATTGCCCCAATTTCCCTAAGCTTGTCATTTTGTTTATGCAGCCAACAATACTTAGAGAAAGAATGAAAAGAACTAAAACTTGACTTGCATATTGAGTAGGGAGCTCTGGTTTTTATATAGCAACATAATATTAGCGCTTGTGTTATTGGCACCCACTAAGATTATAGCTAAGTCAAAATATGGGCTTGATCTTTTCTATAATTAGTGGTAGGCATTTTCTCCAAGACTTGTCTTGCATAGTTGAGTAGGGAACTCTGGTTTTTATATTGCAGTGAGACATCCCTTAACATTTATGTATCGCTACATGGTTAGCCACTAAGATCATAGCAAAGCCCAAATAAAGAATAGACGAGTACTTAGTGGTTAGCAAAGTCCAATAAAGATACCACGACTTGCATCCCATTAGCGAATAATTACGTTGACTTGTACAAATAATTACGGTGTATGAAAACCAACGAATACACACAACAGATTATACATTAAGCAAGGGTATACGTAAGAATTTTTATAAGTGGTATCGAAATTTATAGAAGAACGAGAATAAATAATTTTAATTATCATACTTCTAGATAGAGGTGGCAAAATGGTTAAAAGAAAACAGTTATCCACCTATATTATCCATTAGAAAATGGGTTGAATAATAAACTTTTTAAAAACGGGTCGAATATGGATAAGAACCATATTATCCACTTAGAAAATGGTTAACCAAATGGATAACTAATGTGTTTAACTTTTACATTTTTAAAGCCTCAAATTGGGGGTTCCTCAAGTTTGGGAGACAAGAAATTCTCCCATAAGTGATTATATTCAAGAAGCTATGGATAATATGAATATCTATATTATCCGCCGGATAACCCGTTTTTTATCCGTCTCAAATACGTGTCGAGTTGGATAATTTATTCATTTTTTGATTACTTGTTTTCGATCCGCTCATATCTGACCCGACCCACCCATTTGTCACCCCTACTTCTAGACAAGAAATAGCCTTAGTAGATGCTTTCTCAAATATTTTCCAAAAATACGTGTGTGAGATTTGAACATTTGACCTCTTAGAGCAAAAAAAGGCACATAACCAACACGACAACAACAACAACAACAACACCAACAACAACCCAGTATAATCCCACTTAGTAGGGTCTGGGGAGGGTAGTGTGTACGCAGACCTTACCCCTACCTTGAGGTAGAGAGGCTGTTTCCAAATAGACCCCCGACATCCTTCCCTCCAAGAACTTCCCACCTTGCTCTTGGGGAGACTCGAACTCACAACCTCTTGGTTGGAAGTGGAGGTTGTTTACCATCAGAGCAACCCCTCTTGTCCTATAACCAACACGCCAAAAGACAATTTGTGTTGAGTGGTGTCATTTTTTTTTTCTACTTGATCGTTTTCACACAGTATTAATACATATATTTAGTAAAAAAAATTGATGAAGCGATATCGCGTGATATCGCTTTGTCGAATGTGCATCCGCCCCTGACTTAAGGGGTTGTTTGGTTCATTCATGAAATATCCCATGGTACTATAATTCCGAGATATTCCATGGATTATCTATCCCGCCCCAGATTAGGGATAACTAATACCACCATTTTTGTATTAACTATATATCAGTATTAGTTTATATCTGCAATCAAATATGAGATAACTCTAATCCCAAATTTTATACGGGGATTAATATCTTTATCCTGATAACCAAACTACCCATAAATGTATCGGTATGGGAATCGCGTACAACCTGGGATTGGACTAGGCACTCGTAAAACAGTTTGAGCCAGATTGGGAGAGTCTTGTCTCGTAAAATTTGCGCTTCAAGTGCCCACATGTACCATATACATCCAATGTCAAATGCATGAGGCTCGCCTAATTGATTTTGTGCAATCGAGTGTAATTAGTATTACGTGGCGCCTTCCTGAGATTCCTTGGAAGGGCGACGTAAGGCTAAGCAACTGATGTTAGTGCAGTTACTGTCTGCCAACTGAGGTCCCCTCCGTATGCTAGACTAGATTGTCAGTGCCGCACGGGAAAACCAATGTCAAGAACAATTGAGATAACAGAAATGAGAATTGAGAATGAAAGAAAGCTTGATTGCATTAATGAAAGCTATTACAAAAAGCAACACGGTGTCGAGGGGGAGAGACACCAGTACAGAGAATTGTTTGCTTGCTAGAAAGTTTGATTGCTCGATTCCCCCTAATAATGCTTAAAAAAAAATCCAAAGCTACAAGACTAGACTTGACTAAGCTAGAGAAACATAATGGAAGTACATGAAATAAAACTACTTTATATTTACAATGAAAAGGACTTAGTTTTCTACAAGGCAGAAACAGGTTCGTTGTCAGCAGCAGCGTCTTTGGCATCACGGTCGGCGCACGCGGCACTGTTGGCATCTGCCTGCGGCTAGGCTCTGACGAGGGATATAGGTGGGGCGACAGAGGCACATGCGTGCTTGTCACTTGGCGCGGCCAAGACCACGGGGCCGTCCGTGGCGTTAGGCATTGGGAGGCTTGCTAGGACGCGACAGGACGCGCCCAAAGGGTCATGGAGCATGGCTGGAAAGCCGCCCATGACATTCTCCCCCACCTGAGTTGGTGACGTCCTTGGCGCCTTACTTGCAATATAATCTTCAATTAGGCTTTTGTAGGCTTTGAGGTTTGTTCCTCTCTCCCAAGTATTCTCATCTGCATCACAGCCCTGCCATTTCACCAAAAAACTCTTGGTGATCTTTCCTTGAGGCTTGAATCACTCTATCATCAAGGATAGCTTCAACACGCCTTTTCCCGGTTGAATTGGGACCTTGAATACTGGGTATTATGAGCTGGCTCCGTGAAGGATCCTCCGTGTCTTCCCGAAAAGGTTTCAGGAGGCTGACATGGAAGACAGGATGAATTTTCCACCAAGCTGGGGTATCTACCCGGTATGCAACTTTCCTAATGCGTCTTTCAATGGAAAAAAGGTCTAATGTATTTTTGCAATAGGCGAGAGTCATGGACCCCCGCAAATAAGTACCGCTTTGGAATTTTGACCATCACTTTGTCTCCTACTTGGTATTCAACAAAGCGATGATTCTGATCAGCATGCCTCTTCATCCGCTTTTGAGCTTTGACAAGATAGCTTCGCACTATCTCCAAATTTTGCTTCCACTCTTTTGAGAAGCTAGCAGCTCGAGGAGATTTAGACATATTTGGTATATTCACAATGTGTGGGAGTAGCGGTTGTTGTCCAGTAACATTTTCAAAAGAGCTTTTGTTTGTACTAGAGCTCTTTTATGAATTGAAACACAGTTGAACAGCATCCAGAAGCTTCACCCAATTCTTCTGCGATCCAGTTACAAAGTGGCGGAGATATTCCTCCAACATACCATTGAACCGCTCTGTCTAGCCATCAGATGCGGATGAGTTGTGACTCAATTTTGACCCAAGGCTCTTAAAAAGCTGGGTCTAAAAGTTGCTAGTGAAGCGTGAGTCACGATCACTAACAATGTCTTTGGGTAGGCCCCAATATTTGACGACATTAGAGAAGAAGAGTCGAGCTTTATCTTTTGCTGATATATATTGTGGGGCTACAATAAAGGTAGCATACTTGGAAAACCTATCCACCACAACCAAGATAGTTGTGAGATCTCCGACCTTGGGAAATTCGGTGATGAAATCCAGGGAAACGCTTTCCCAAGGTCATTTTGGGACAGCTAGCGGTTCCAAGAGTCCCGTTTGTGTCAAGCGGTCCGACTTGTCCTTCTGGCATACTAGACAAGTCTTCACATACTGAGCGACATCATCGGCCATTTGAGGCCATAATATGCACGACGAAGTAACACCATGGTGCGTTCTTCACCGGGATGGCCAACCCACAAAGTATCATGACATTCCGCCAGAAGAGTCCTTCCCAAATCTCCTCCTTTAGGAACATAAAGTCGATTCCCTTTAACTTTCAGGAAACCATCTTCCATGTAGAACTGGCGAGTCTTGCCTTATCCTACCAAATCAACCAAATATTGTGCAGCAGAATCTTTGATGAGTAGATCTTGTATCTGGTCCTTGATGGAGGTGGCTACCTTGCTCCCCCTTAGGGTGGTGAGTAAGCACACCGATGCTAGGTCAGCTCTCCGACTGAGCGCATCAGTAACATGATTGGTCTTCCCACTTCGGTACTCCAGGTTGAAGTGGAATTCAGCTAGAAGTTCCTGCCACCTGGCTTGTCAACCATTCAGTTTCGGCTGGGTCATGAAATGGCTAACAGCTGTGTTGTCTGTCTTGGCCACGAATTGGGTCCCCAACAGATAGTGCCTCCAAAGGCGCAAGCAGTGGACGATAGCCAATAATTCTTTCTCATAGGCGGCATAGAGCCACTCTGCATCCTTCAGCTTCCGACTCTCGTACGCTACAGGATGCCTTTCTTGTAGCAAGACACCGCCGAGGGCATAGTGGATGCATCCGTTTGTACCTCGAATGGCTTGGCCAAATCAGGTCTACTAGACATAGCCGCTTTTAATGCATTAAAGGCCTCCACTTGCCTCAGTCCCCAATCCCAGGGTGTGACTTTCTTGAGGAGTTCTGTCAAGGGCACCGCAATGAGGGAATAGTATTTCACAAATCGCCGGTAGAAGTTGCATAGGCCAAGGAACGCCGTCAAGGCGTGGACATCCTTAGGCGGTGACCAATCTGTGATTGCCTATATCTTCTGTTGGTCCATCTTGATCCGTCATTCCTCGATGACATGTCCGAGGAAGTCAATTTGCTTCTGAGCAAATGAGCACTTGGATATATTTACATATAATTCATGCTCCCGCAATCGAGCTAGGACCTTCCGCAAGTGCACTAGGTGTTCTTCCAATGTTTGGCTATATACCACAATGTCATCCAAGTAGACCACCACGAATTCGTCAATGTACTCTCGGAAGACTTGGTTCATCAGAGTGCAAAATGTAGCTGGGATGTTAGTCAAGCCGAACAACATGACCAGGAAGTCGTACAACCCATATCTTGTCACACAGGTCGTCTTGTGTTCATCACCCTCTGCGATACGAACTTGCTAGTAACCTGTCTTGAGGTCTATCTTGGTGAAAACCGTCGCACCACCCAGTCTATCGAACAAGTCTACCATTAGAGGAATAGGGTACTTGTTCTTCACGATGATTTTGTTTAGAGCTTGATAATCCACACAAAGTCGCAGGCTGCCATCATGTTTCTTTTGGAATAGAACAGGGGACTCGTATGGGGACTTGGAGGGTACAATGATCCATGTATCTAGCATTTCCGTCAATTGTCTCCGAAGCTCGGTGAGTTCGGGTTGTGACATTCTGTAAGGCACCCGAGCAGGTGGCTTCGCGCCCGGCACCAACTCAATTTCATGGTCCACAGTGCACCTAGGCGGGAGTCGCTTTGGCATGTCTTGTGGCATGACATCTTCAAACTCCAGTAGTATCTCCTTCACGGGTTTAGGAATGGGACCCGAGGAGCGTTCTATATCTTCAATGCAGAGGGTTGCCAGGAACGTAGGTTCATTCCTTTTGACCCCCTTCTTCAACTGCAAGGCCGAGATTTTCTCAACTGCCATCTTCATGGGCATGCACGGGATAATTCAGGGCTTGGCCCTATTGGTTACCATCATCAGTAGCATGTCTGCAAATGGTACAGGCATGGTGTTGGTTTGCCTTAGGAATTCCAACCCAACTATCAACTCGAAGTCATCTATGATCACTACTCGCAGGTTGAATTTTCCTTCGTAAGGGCCAAGCTTCACCGGTACCTCTTTGGCTATTCTACCTACTGGCTGGGGGGGGGTGAGTTGATAGCATTGACACGACCTCTACCTTTCCCTACAACTAGACCAAGGCGCTTCACCTGAGTCGAGGCTAAGTAGTTGTGGGTAGCACCTGTGTCTATCATAGCCCGAATGGGCTTGCCATTTACCTGCATCTCAACGAACATTAAGGTCTTCTCTTGTTTAAGAGGAGTCTCCTCATCCGCCTTCTTTTTCCCTTTCATGGTGACTGGACGTGGGTCCTTTTTTTTACGGATACCACCACTGGTCTCCGCTAATGCCTCAGAAATGGAGCCAACAATTGCATTGAAGGCACCTACTGGTTCAGTCTGGTCCGCATCGTCTGAGTCGTAATCAGTCCCATCATCAAAAGCCTGATGGGCGTTCATCTATACATATGGGCACTCATTGTTCCAATGTGGTCCACCGCAATGACGCTATCTTGAAGGAGGCTTTCTCCCTCGGTCATTGTTGTCTGACGCAGCACTGTTGCTGCCTGAGGAGGGAGCCTTAGATTTGGTTGAGCTCTGATCTCCCCCACTTCTGCTAGGGCCACCATTGCTAGGCTGACCCTCTTTGAATCCCCCTCAGGCAGGCGGCTGAGGCCTATCCTTCCGAGCTTCCATTTGATAGTCCCCAAGGCATTCAGCTGCTTGGATCGCCTTGGGCAGGGTATCTACCATTTGTCTTTGTAGCTACATACGTGCATAAGGTTTCAACCCTTCCAGGAAGGTGAAGAGCTTGTCTTTGTCCCCCATGTCGCATATGTTTAGCATGAGCGCGGAGAATTCCTGCATGTAGTCCCGCACTGATTTGGTCTGGCGGAGCTCCAGTAGCTTTCTCCTTGCATTGTATTCAACATTTTCGGGGAAGAATTGTAGGCGTATGGCTGCCTTCAGTTCTACCCATGTCTTGAGAGCATCTTCATCAGCCCTAATGGCTTCGTACTTCACCCGCCACCAGAGTTTAGTATCACCCTGAAGATACATGGCAGCAGTTGCTACCTTCTTAGCTTCTTCTAAGCCCCCAACAGCATCGAAATACTGTTCGACATCAAAGATAAAGTTCTCCACTTCCTTGGCATTCCTAGCTCTACTGTATGGCTTTGGCTCAGTAATTTTCAATTTTGTGTCGCGGAAGCGGGGTTCACAGCGCCCCCGATTTGGTTTCCACCTCCTCGAAGTAGGCCCTGTAAAGCAGCATTGGCAACATTGAGCTTGTCTGTCAAGTCGTCAATAGTTTTTTGCATGGCAGTCACCCTGTCTGCCTCTTGTGCCATATAAGCTAAATCCTCGGCACGCTCCTGTTGGAGTCCCTCGAATCTGCCAAAAATTTCGGCTGCCTCTGTGGCTGCCGTTTGCCGATCTCTCTCGGAGTCGCGACTGATGTTTTCTATGTCAACTTCGGCCTGGAGTACCCTGCGGTCCAGGTCGTCCAACCTTTGCCCTAGGCTGGTTCTTAGTTCAGTCACCATATCCACGATGGGTCGTAATCCATCAACCGTCTGTTCAAGGGCCGCAATGTGGTCCCCATGATTCACCATGGTCAAAAATGGTGGTAATGGCAATGCATTCCCTCATCCGATGTCGAGCCTAGGCTCTAATACCAACTGTTACGTGGCGCCTTCTTGAGATTCCTTGGAAGGGCGACGTAAGGCTAAGCAACTGATGTCAGTGCAGTTACTGTCCGCCAACTGAGGTCCCTTCCGTATGCTAGACTAGATTGTCAGTGCCGTACGGAAAAACCAATGTCAAGAACAATTGAGAGAACAGAAATGAGAATTGAGAATGAAAGAAAGCTTGATTGCATTAATGAAAGCTATTACAGAAAGCAACACGGTGTCGAGGGGGAGAGACACCAGCACAAAGAATTGTTTGCTTGCTAGAAAGTTTGATTGCTTGATCCCCCCTAATAATGCTTAAAAAAAATAATCCAAAGCTACAAGACTAGACTTGACTAAGCTAGAGAAACATAATGGAAGTACATGAAATAAAAATACTCTATATTTACAAATAAAAGGACTTAGTTTTCTACAAGGCAGAAACAGGTTCGTTGTCAGCAACAACGTCTTTGGCATCACAGTCGGCGCACACGGCGTTGCCTGCACGCGCGACGATGTTGGCTTCTGCCTGCGGCTGGGCGTTGGCGAGAGATATCAGTGGGGCGACAAAGGCACATGCGCGCTTGTCACTTGGCGCGGCCAAGACTACGGGGCCGTTCGTGGCACTAGGCATTGGGAGGCTTGCTAGGATACCACGGAGCGCGCCCAAGGGGTCATAGGGCATGGCTGGAAAGCCGCCCATGACATTAGTTATGTAAATCCAGAAATTCCTTAACTAAATTATCTACATTGACCATAAATCAGAAGTGAGAACATGGCAAGCTTAGTCTTTAAAACATCAGATAAAGTTTTAGTGGGTAGAGTTACTCAATATCTATACTGGTGGAAGAAAGCAGAACATGTTCTGTTAAACTTAAACAGACACCCACTTATTATCGAGAGAGAACTTCAAATAATAGTAAGAAAATGTTTCGTGATTCATTTACTTCACATGAGGTACATATCACATTATGTTTCCAAGTTGTTTTTTTTTCTTCTTTCGATGTTGGATTGTTGATGTTGTAATTGATTCACATACCATGGTATTATATAAAGTCATTTTATTTTTTATGGTTACGCTAGAGCTTCTATATTTATCTAATGTTTTGACAATTATATAATTTTGTTTTTTGGTAAATAGACTTTTCTATTATCTGAGAAAATTGTACAAGTACATCAATCATTTCCTAAAGTTGGACATGCTGCAGCCCCAACTTTAGCATGCATCTATAACTTCTTCTTCTATAGCTAATACACTCAGAGATCCTTTACTAGTCAGTTACTAGCAACTAAATGCACATGGCTAGAACTTCTCATTCACATTGTTTTATATTTATTTAAGACTTTTGCTTAAATCTCATATTCCGCTGTCATTTAAATGTTTATCACTTGTTAATATAAGTTGAAAAAAAAGGATTAAAACAGAAGAGTTAAAGATTTCTAAGTTCGTGGCTTGCCTAGCTTCTACGAGTAGGCGCCATCATGACTCCCGAGGGTGGAAATTTCGGGTCGTGACATAGATGCATATTGGAAGAAATTTAAAGTTATTATTTGTGCCAATTTATACATTATGGTTTACCAATATTTGTTATACTTTATTGATATAAGAGTATTCTTCTCCAACTTTCTATACTTTTTGTAAAAAAAAAAAAAAAGAATCATCACAAAATATATACCATCTTGAAATATTTGTACTAATGGATTTATACCATCTTGAAATATTTGTACTAATGGATTTATACCATCTTGAAATATTTGTACTAATTAGCATGAGATACACATGTCTAGAACCTAGTATAGTAATAAAGAAGAAGATAGTATTAAGCAATTAAAGTAAAATTCTCAAGAGATTACACCGAAAGGAGCTTAATTGATACAATGAGCCAAACTGTTGGAGATCTCGGGGATCTTACTTGAATATCAAATAATGCAAATTATAAATTAAAAATAGCACACAACAAGAGAAGCCGACCCTTTGGAGAAGCGCACATAAGATTTTGGGAGAGAAAATAGAAATACTTCATATAGGAAGATGAAAAGGATCTAAAAATCAAGGAAATGGTGAAAATTGATTGAAGTGAATGATATGATCAATATTAGTAGTAGGTTGCTGGGGGAGGTGAAGCATAGGTGGCAGATTGCTCGTATTTTATAGGTGGTGAAGGTGAGGCATAGACGGGAGTTTGCTTATAATAGTTCGTTGGTGGTGGAGGTGAGTAGTATGATGGCGATTTTTCATAAGTCTTTGGTAGAGATGGTAAGTTGTAAGTTATAGGTGATTGCTCGTAGTATTTTGGTGGAGGTGGAGGAGATTTATAGGAATGTGTAGATTCTTTGTAGTATGGTGGAGGTGGAGATTTATAATTAATTGGTGATTGTTCATAGTATTTTGGTGGTGGTGGAGGAGAACTGTATGACGACAGTTGCTCATAGTATTTTGGTGGGGGTGGAGGTGACTTGTAATAAGGTGATTACTCATAGTATGTTGGAGTAGGTGGAGGTGACTTGTAATAAGAAGGTGATTTCTCATAATAAGTTGGTGGTGGTGGAGATTTATAGTAAACTGGGGACTTGTAATATTTTTGTGGTGCCGGTGACTTATAATATTTAGAGGGAGCAGGCGATTTGTAGTATTTTGCTGGGGATGGTGACTTGTAATACTTTGCAGGTGATGGCGCTTTGTAGTACTTTGCTGGTGATGGTGACTTGTAGTAGCTCTTTGAAGGAGCTGGCGACTTGTAGTATTTTGCGGGAGCTGGCGATTTGTAGTACTGGGGAGATGGCGATTTGTAGTATTTTACAGGAGATGGCGAACTGTAGTATTTTACGGGAGCTGGAGATTCGTAGTATTTTGCGGGAGCTGGTGACTTGTAATAGTGCTTTGCAGGAGCATGTGACTTATAGTAAGGAATCGGTACATGATACTCGGATGGAGATGGTGATTTGTAATACTTCTCGGAGGTGTAAGAAGGTGAGGGAGAAGTATACCCATAAGAGTAATCAGCAACAACAGTACTGGCTATAAAGCAAATTACCACAGCAGTTACAAGCAAAGGCAATTGCCCCAGCTTCCCTATGCTTGTCATTTTGCTTATGCAGCCAACAATACTTAGAGAAAGAATGAAAAGAACTTAAACTTGACCTGCATATTGAGTAGGGAGCTCTGGCTTTTATATAGGAACATAATATTGTCCTTTTAGTTATGTGTTATTGGCACCCACTAACATTATAGCTAAGTCAAAATATGGGCTTGGTCTTTTCTATAATTAGTGGTAGGCATTTTCTCCAAGACTTGTGTTGCATAGTTGAGTAGGGAACTCTGCTTTTTATATTGCAGTGAGACATCCTTATTAATTAGGAGTAACATTTATGTAATTGTTGCTTGGTTAGCCACAAAGATGATATAGGATCGTCTAAATAAATAAATAAGAGCTTTTTCACTTTTAGTTCGCGCCAGAAATTATTTATATTTAGTAGCCAAAAAAGTATATAAAATTTGTATAATTTTTGTATGTAACATATAGAATGTGTATATATACTAAAAGTATACATTTTTCGGCTATTATTTTGAGAGCGGCTATACAGTGTTATTTTCCCAATAAATAATAGGCCAGTACTTAGTGGTTAGCTTTTTTTGGTGACTGAAAAAATAATTTAAAGATAAATATTAAAAATGGAGAAAACAATAAGGATACCACGACTTGCATCCCATTAGCGAATAATTAAGTTGACTTGTACAAATAATTATGGTATATTGAATATGAAGCTCAAAAACAATAAGGGAACACCAGCGAATACACACAACAGATTATACCTTAACCAGGGGAGTACGTAAGAATTTTTATAAGTGGTGTCAAAATTTATAGAAGAACGAGAATAAATAATTTTAATTATCATACTTCTAGACAAGAAATAGCCTTAGTAGAAGTTTTCTCAAACATTTTGCAAAAATACATGATATGTGAGATTTGACCCTTTGACCTCTTAGAGCAAAAAGAGGCACATAACCAACATGCCAGGAGATAATTTGTGTTGAGTGGTATCATTTTTTTCTCCTTGATCGTTTTCACATAATATTAATACATATATTTAGTAAAAAGTTTCGACGAAGCGGTGTCACGTGACACTGCTTTATCGAACGTGCATCTGCCCCTGACCTTAAGGGGTCGTTTGATTCAGTTATGAAATATCCCTTGGTACTATAATTCTGGGATATTCCATGGGTTATCTATTTTGCCTCTGATAAGGGATAGCTAATATCACCATTTTGGCATTAACTCTATATCGGTATTAGTTTATAGCCGCAATCAAATATGAGATAACTCTAATCCCAAATTTTATATGGGGATTAATATTTTTTGTCCTGATAACCAAACGACCCCGAAATGTATCGGTATGAGAATCACGTACAACCTGGGATTGGACTAGGCACTCGTAAAACGGTTTGAGCCAGATTGGGAGAGTCTTGTCTCGTAAAATTTGCGCTTCAAGTGCCCACATGTACCCTATGCATCCAATTCCCAACGCATGATGCTCGTCCAATTGATTTTGTGCAATCGAGTGTAATTAGTTATGTAAATCAAGAAATTCCTTAACTAAGCTGTCTATATTGACCATAAATCAGAAGTGAGAACATGGCAAGCTTAGTCTTTAAAACATCAGATGATCTATTCTTCTATGTTTAAGTCTTAGTGGGTAGAGTTACTCAATATCTACACTGGTGGAAGAAAGCAGTATATGTTATGTTAAACTTAAACAGACACCCACTTATTATCGAAAGGGAGAACTTTAAATAATAGTAAGAAAATGTTTCGTGATTCATTTACTTCACATGAGGTACATATCACATTATGTTTCCAAGATGTTTTTTTCTTCTTTCGATGTTGGATTGTTGATGTTGTAATTGATTCACATACCATGGTAATATATAAAGTCATTTTATTTTTTATGGTTATGCTAGAGCTTCTATATTTATCTAATGTTTTGACAATTATATAAATTTTTTTTTGGTAAATAGACTTTTCTATTATCTGAGAAAATTGTACAAGTACATCAATCATTTCCTAAAGTTGGACATGCAGGCTGCAGCCCCAACTTTAGCATGCATCTATAGCTTCTTCTTCTATAGCTAATACACTCAGAGATCCTTTACTAGCTACTAGCAACTAAATGCACATGGCTAGAACTTCTCATTCTGCATCATGGATAGAAATTTAGGCTGGCCATCTGCTTGGCTAGCCTTGGAAGTTTGCTCCCTCTACAATGTACATCTTGCATAATCATCTTTGTAATCACATTCTCTGATCGTCGCTTATTTTGGAACATTTTTAAGTTCCTTTCCTGCCAAATGTAGTAGATGCTCCCAGACAGAGCCATCCTATAGATTTCAGCTTTCCCACATTTACCTTTCGTATTGCTTACTGCCCATGCTACCTCCTCAGTCCAACCCATTACAGCTCTTTAATACCTTGCCATTTGAGAATTTGTTGTCATATTTTAGCTTCTATAGAGCACTCAAAGAATAGATGTTGGGTGCTTTCTTGTTCTTGCCCGCACAAAGGGCATATCGGGCTACTTTGAATCCCCCACTTGATAAGTCTATCTCTCGTGTACAACCTATTTTGTACTGCCAAGTATAAGATGAAAGACCATCTTGGACTGCTTTGGTTGTTACATATCAACCTCCTCCAATGAGTTTTGGGATAATCACCTCTCATGTTGTTGTATACTGTCCTTATTGAGAAGTTATCCTTGCTCATGATCTCCTCTACTGTTAGCCCAGCATCCTCAAGATATTTCCCGGCTTTGAGAATCTTTTGCACAACCTAGGAGGCTTGCTTTGGATTCTCTTAGTGTACTCTCCTTATATAGTATGTATGAGCCCACTTAATCCACAACCTGTCCTTTTTTCTGTCCCAGGTTCCAATAGTGCTTCAGAATAGCTGCTTTATTCCATAAGGCAATGTTTGTTATGTTCAAGCCACCAGCAACTTTAGGCAAGCATAGTTTATCCCAACCAATGAGAGCCTTTTTGGAACATTTTGCAGCTCCTGCCCATAGGTAACTTCTGCATATTGCTTCAATCGGCTGGATAATTTTTCTAGGCAGTATGAATATTTGGGACCAAAAGTTTTGAATAGTTGTAAGCACACTTTTAGTCAGCTGCAGCCTGCCTACATAGGATAGTAGCTTTGCAGTCCATGTAGTGATCCTTCCTATCATCTTGTGTAGTAATGGTTCGCACTTTCCTATCTATAGTCTCTTTGAGCTTAGAGGTACACCAAGGTATCTGAATGTAGTGTGCCAACTTTGAAGCCTAGTGCTTGAATTATTTCCTACTGCGTAGATGATGAGACCCCTCCAAAGTAAATAGAGCTCTTCCCTTGGTTAGCAACTAGTCCAGATGCCTTAGAGAAGCTTTCAAAGCATGCATATAGCAGCTTAGCAGAGATCACATCACATCTGCAGAATAGCAGTAGGTCATCTGCAAATCTTAACTGCACTAGATTTAGTTTGGCAGACCAGGGATGGTAGTTGAAATTTGGATTGTCCTTCAGAGTCTTCAGAAGTCTAGTAAGGTATTCCATTGCTATGACAAAGAGATATGGGGATAGGGGATCATCCTGTCTCACACATCTTTCTGCAGTAAAGGGTGCAGTTGCCCTACCATTAACTATAATGGAGCATGAGACCGTTTGAACACATACCATAAGCCATTTCACAAAAACTTTAGGAAAGTTCAGCCCAATAAGAACCTGTTACGAAAAAACCCATTCTAATGAGTCATTGGCCTTTTATATGTCTATCTTGAGCATGCATCTTGATGAAATTCCTTTCCTCCCATGCCCCTTTACTAATTCATGACTAAGGCTAATATTATCATTGATCACCCAACTAGGCACAAAAGCAGCTTGTCCTTTGTCAATCAGTTCATCTATGACCCCCTGTATTCTTTTGTAAGCATTTTAGATATGATATTATATATTGTGGTGCAGTAGGATTTAGGTCTAAACTCTTTCACAGAGGAGGGGTTCTTTACTTTTGGTACTAATCTGACAACAGTGCAGCTAATTGGTCCATACACGCCTTTAGTTTCAAAAAAATTAAGCACTGCAGTGGTCACCTTATTCCCAATTGTTGTTCATGCCCTTTTGAAGAAACAGGAACTAAATCCACCAACTCCTGGAGCTTTAGAGTCATCAATCCCCTATAGTGCCTGGTATACTTCTTCCTTGGTGAATGCTCTGCTAAGTACTTTTTGTTGGCTTATGGTAAGTATAGGACCTTTGGTCATTATGTCAGGCTGGATGGCAGGCATTGTTGCATTGGCAGTCCCTATCATCTGCTTATAGAATTTGAGTATCTCTTTTTCTATTCCCTTCTATGTTTGTAGCATAATTCCTTCACTAGACAATAATGCCTTGATATGGTTTTGAGCTCTCCTATTCTTCACATTGGCAAAAAGATATGCAAAGTTTGAGTCTCTAAGTTTTAGCCATTGCACCCTAGACTTCTGCTTGTAAATGCTTTCTTCTATTAGGTCCCACTTTTCAAGTGTATCCTCAATTCCTTCTCTGCTTCAAAGAGTTCATGTGGGTGATTTGTAATTCTCATATCCTCTTGATTGTCCTTTAGTCTTTCTATAACCCCAACAAAATCTTTAATATTCAGTTCTTTGATAGCAGTCTTGACATGTTTTAATTTATCCCATATATCCTCTATATATTGTGCAGTATTGGTTTGGCTCCAGCTTTCCTCTACCACACTGATGAAGTTAGAGTGCTCTGCTATACAATTCATAAACCTAAAAGCCCTCTTGCATCTACTTCCTGATCTGCCCAGTTCAATGCTATGTGGTGAATGATCTGAGAAAATTGGGTCCATCACTTGCACCGATAGAGGTGGCATTGTAGTCATCCATATTGAATTTACTATGGCTCTGTCAATACTACTATATGTGTGGTTATTGCTCCATGTGTAGGATCTTCCTATTGTCTGTAGTTCTGTCATCCCAGCTTCAACCATTGAAGTCTCTTATCTCTATATCCTGGACCTCAGCACCATGAATCATGTCCTCCATATTCAAGATGGCATTGAAGTCCCCTATTATTAGCTAGGGTTCTTGCTGCCATGTCTCTATTTACTTCAGTTGTTTCCACAATTCCAGCCTGAACTTTATACTATGCACGCCATAGACAGCAGTGAAATGGCATTCAAGATTTGTAGCTATCCCTCTGACTGAAACATGTATGAACTGAGGGTGATCCAGTTCATTAACCACTGGATGATTAATTTTGTTCCAAAATAGCCATATCCTTCCTTTGTGTGTAGTAGATGCATTAGTTATCCGTCCCCAGCCAGGTGCAATTTTATTTGCTATATGAGCAGCTTTGTTCTCTTGAACTCTGTGCTCTATTATTGCTATAATACTAATATTATTTTCTCTAATAAACTCGTTTGTCTCCTTTTGTTTATACAACTTATTCATCCCTCTAACATTCCAAGTGACTATCTTCATCTTGGTATGAAAGGAAATTGAGTCATATCCTCCACCCCTATACCACTTTCTCCCCCTTTTCATGCTGTGCATATTGAAGTTCCATTCTCTGATAATCTGATTCTTCACTAAGAGAATTGAAACCATTTTTACTAACCAGCTGTTGTGTATCCTCCATATGTGATGTTTCAGTTATCTTCCCAGCTGATCTGCCTCTAACTTCTGTCCATCCAACCTCTCCTTCTTTAGCTTTTCCCTTATTTCCTGGTACTACCTTATCATTTTTCGTCTCAGCTTGTATTACTGCTTTACTTTGTCCTGCTTTCATCCATAGCTGTTTGGTAATCTTCTTCTGAATATTTTGCTGTTGTTCCTGATTTCTTGGGGCTTGAGGTTGTTTCAGTTTTTCATTCTGTTGACAGAAATGTCCTACTTGCAAGAATGTGGTACAGTACATAGGCCTTCAGTCATAGGTTCTCCTGCTCAAATACTTCTCTAGAATTTTCTACTTTCACACTTGTTAGAAATGGTTGAGTGGCATCCATCTCGATTAGCATTCTTGCATAGGAAACCCTCTCTATCTTTGTTGTACAATCATCTGCATACAAAGGGTTCCCTAGTCCACTTCCTATTCTGCTTAGATAATTCATACTCTAGCAGCTCAAAGGTAGATTTGGGAGTTTAATCCATAGGGGTATGATTTTCAGAACCTCTTCATAAAAGTTGAAGTATGGAGTCCATGCCTTGGTAATTATAGGTTTATTATTCTTTGTGTAGGGCCCTGAGAACAAAACATCATTTCAATCTTCTTTGCAAGTGAATCTGATAATGAAGTAGCCTTCATTGTGCAGGTACACTTTAGGTCTGGCTGTGAAATTTCAGTGCTAAGAAATGAATCACTCAGCAGCCCCAATTGTAGGTGTTTCCCCAATAACGTACATTATCACAACATTACTCCATTTCTCTGTCTCTATACACCTCTTCCTTTTCTAATTGAACAATTTTCTCCCAATTACGAATTTGAGGAGCAATGAAGGTTAGATTCATACCTTTACCAGCCATTTTTTCCCCTCGAAGAGGTTTGCCCAATTCTTCTTCCTCGAAGAGTTGAATTCGCATTCTTCTCCGGCAGTTCTGGTCGAGCAATTGGCATGATAACTTCTCTGGCGATCTTCGTCGGACCCGGTAATTTTTTCATAATTTTCGTTAATTAACGCACTTTTCCAGATCCTAACTCTAAGTATTAGTCGGTCTTTCAATTCCGTTATGGCTTCCTTAGTCGCAGTTCTCTGATTCTCCCTTCTAGGCATTTCCGGTAATGGCGTATGTTAGAGTGCATCACTAACGTGCGCATGCAGGAAAGAGAAGAGAGAGTAAATTTCTTTATTTCTTAAAAGAAAAATTGTGATGTGTTATCCTCCATGATCTTCATGTCAAATGCTTAATGACATGTTTTCTATGTTCAATGACATATTTCATGACATATTTTCTTCACTTTTCATGCATATATAAAGACCTTGTAATAGATAGGAAAATACACACAATTAAAGAAAAAAATCACTTCCTTCTCTCTATCTCCATTTCTTGTTCATGTTTTACTAAATTGCTTTTATTTCCTTATTCCATATTGCTACTTTGAGNTTTTTGAGTATCCATGACCTACTTGATGCTTGCTACTAACTTACCATTTTTAAGTATTTTATATAAATGATGCACATGCTACAACTGGTAAGTTGTTACCTATAACGTCACTTTTCAGGTAATATAAATGCTGAATTTATGTATTAGTATTATATATGTGTTATGTGTACTTTTGATAAATTTATTCACTAATTGCTTGGTTGAATTGAGTGAAGGAAAGTCATGGCGTTAAATCAAATCCAATAGGTAGGGTATACCCC